TATCACGTGAAGATCCGCCTCGCGGAACAATCTATTAGACCTTAAAAGCCGTCAATTAGACTTCCGTGCGTGCGACACATTAAACAGCTGAACGCCATCCATCAAACCATCCAAACCTCCTTCGCCGTACTGTCATCTAATAACTAATAATTTCGCGAATAACTCCGGCCGCGTCCCATCCAATTGCCGGTACTACGCAAGGCCTTTACATGTAAACAGAGCAATTAATCACATCCTGTACCCCGACAATTTGTTCCAAATTAGAGACGTCAATGCATTGATTGCGCGACAACTAGACGAGTTGTCCATCCGCCAGACTGATTTTTTTCGCGTACGGCGTGTCCCAGTTTAGATACCCAGATGGGATAGACGGGAATTTCGATAACAGGAAGTTAATATGTCAGCCCTTGATATTCTGTAAGAGTTCCACAGAAATACAGTTAGCCTTGGATTTATGTATTTGATATTAAACGTCATATCCTGCAGTCAGTGCTACAAAGCATAAACTAAAACTATATTTTTATACAGGGCGGTAAGTGGATATGGAGTACGATACAGAAATTTTTGAGACAAGTCCTCCCATTGTATGGCGCTGTTATTAGTATTTTTTGCAAATGTAGTGCATACATACAGGGTCGGAAAGTCCCCATGGTTCATCGGCCGTTACGTGATAGCGATAAAGAAAGTCATAGAAATCCGTGCGATAGAGAAAGATGGCTATAATGAAGGCGTGTAATAGTCACCGCCCATTTCGCCCTTCCACAAATAAGAAGTGGATCTTATTTGCCACCCTGGGCACTAGGTACTTTGGAGACCGTCCCTGTCGTGATTTTCGTGTTCAGCGACTTCATAAACCCCCGAGTAGCAAAATTGAACTAATTTTCGTCAATATTTTCCGAGTTATAAATTTTTCATATTTTAACTCTTCGAGATGCAATTTTAAAAATGCATTTTTCTTATGCACCGATGCAATTTTCATTTCTCATTGACCACATAGGGTCACAAACTTTCTGGACGCACGATCCATTTTACTGCACAGATTTCGGAGGTTCAGTGTTTCATTTCGTCGACTAAAGAGATGAGCCACTAGATAACGATCGATGATATACAAGACAAAGATTCAATTATTATTATTATAAGAATCCCCGATTCCAAAACTCATAGTCCGAGATGTTTTGTGATTTCAGGTCCAGACCTAATCAAGATATACCGCAAATGTGCTTCACATCTGGCAGTTAAGTACTACAAGTAGAAGTTTTTTTGTGAACTATGGCAGAAAAAAATGTGTTAACCAAATGGTTTGCGTCAAGAAAATAAGAAATGTGCCAAAAGAAATAGCAACATCTCAATTTGCCTCATCCGGAAACTTTTACAAGACACTGCTTTAGGCGTTCTTCTGCCAAGCAACAGCCGACGCAGGGGCCGATATTACCACCATTAAACGACATGGGGGTGGAGTTCTAGTACGGTAGCGGTGACATATACAGGGTAGCCCATCGAAAACGTACCGCACGGCATTACAGGGTAGTAAAGAACTTTTCGGCAAAATCCAAAAACAGGTCAAATTTGTTTCTAAGGGGGACAACTTTTGGCTCAAAAAGCATACCAAAATCTTCAACCCCCTAAGTGGGGGTGCTATCCCCTAAATTTTTTCAAATGGGAATGGGGGTCAAGTGGGGGGTCATTAGAAAGGGCTTTTAATTCTCTATACATCGATTCTTACTTTTTGAAAATCGATTCATTATTTTAGAAAATATGCAGCTTTGAAAATACGAACAATATTTTTGACGAGAAATGCGAAAATCGATTTAATTTTACTTCAAAACTTACGGTATTAGTCAAGTAAATGCTGAAAATGTTGTCCGCCAACTTGCATACAATGATACAGGTTGTCTTCAAACCGTTGTCGAACATTCTGGAGCACTTGCGGTGTTACTTCGCGACATACATTAATGATTCGTCCTCGCAGATCTTCCAAGGTATCAGGTGGAGTGCTGTAAACTTTGCTTTTAATGTGCCCCCAGAGAAAGAAATCTAAAGGATTTAAGTCGGGTGACCGAGGGGGCCACTCAATTGCACCTCTTCGTCCTATCCAGCGTCCTGGAAACGTCTCATTTAGGTAATTGCGCACATTGAGCGAGTAATGTGGAGGAGCTCCGTCTTGCTGGAAAATCAGTTCGTGTTCATTGTAAGCAGGGTCGTCCTCTATGATATTTGTTAGAGCTGGGTCGATGACATTTTGTAGTAAATCCAAGTACATATCGCCTGTCAAATTTCCAGGAAGGAAAAAAGGACCTACAATGGAATTTCCAAAAATACCTGCCCATACATTCAACTTCTGGGGGTGTTGGGAGTGTGTCTCATGGAAAATCCTTGGATTGGTATCAGCCCAGTAACGACAATTATGGCGATTCACTAAACCATTCAAGAAGAACGTACACTCGTCCGAAAAACACACATTAAAGAGGAAATTATCGTTTATCGCTCGTTCAGTCATTATTTCGCAAAATTGCAAACGACGATCAAAATCGTCTTCATTTAGCTCTTGCACTAGCCGAATCTTATAAGGATGGAATTTGTATTTTTTTAATATTCGTTGGACACTTGTACGACTCACTCCTGTCGCAGTAGCCAATTGCATTGTACTCAGCGTACTATCCATTGCCACTTGCCCCAATACCGCTATTTCCGTAGGTTCATTTAGTACCGGATTTTCAACCTGCCTCTTTTTGTTATGAACGGAGCCAGTTTCGCGAAATTTGGCCACCAATTCGCGAACAATTTTTCCAGACGCATGTTTCTCAGGATGCCGTTGGTTGAACAGTTCGGCGACCCGATTTCCGCATTCATTGTTTTTGAAAAAAAGCTCAATAATTTCTACTCTTTCTGGAATTGAGTACACCATAATTAATCAATTTAAAAGACTCGGCAGTATTGGTACTCTTCAACTACAAGTCACAAGACAGTTATCTAGCAACTTCTTGTGGCCTATCTAAATACGAAACAAAAAGCGGACAATTTTTTGCTCACCAAAATCAGGCTAAAGAATTCGCAAATCAGAAAAAAAAACAGCGAATTCTTTTGAAGGAATTTACCAAGCTAATACCGTAAGTTTTGAAGTAAAATTAAATCGATTTTCGCATTTCTCGTCAAAAATATTGTTCGTATTTTCAAAGCTGCATATTTTCTAAAATAATGGATCGATTTTCAAAAAGTAAGAATCGATGTATAGAGAATTAAAAGCCCTTTCTAATGACCCCCCACTTGACCCCCATTCCCATTTGAAAAAATTTAGGGGATGGCACCCCCACTTAGGGGGTTGAAGATTTTGCTATGCTTTTTGCGCCAAAAGTTGTCCCCCTCAGAAGCAAACTTTACCTGTTTTTGGATTTTGCCGAAAAGTTCATTACTACCCTGTAATGCCTTGCGGTACGTTTTCGATGGGCTACCCTGTATAGAAGATTCTATACAGAAAAAAATTTCAATCGCAAATAAATTGTTACCAACTTCAGCAGAGCTAACGGGACTTGCCAATAATACAACGTACGCAGAAAACTTAAATAATTACAGCAGCAGCCTCATTGAACAGCCAGAACTAAAAGCTACGATAACTGGCATAAATTTAACTCACTGCAATATCGGCACTTTCAATTTACATGCAGTGCAAAATAAATTGTAATCGTCCTATTTATAATAGTAATTGTTTTGTATTGAAATGATATATTACTTAAAATGTAATAAAATCATAGATAAGTCTCGAAAAAATGACAAATTATTTTGACATTTGACATTTGACTTTGGCGTTCTAGAACATGAAAGTATTATGCAGTTAGGTGATAAAAAAGACTTTGTCAACTGAAAATTTAACGGAAATGTCGACGTTTGATGACAGTTCTCGAAAAACGACTCTTATTTCATCTTTGACTTTCGCACTAAGGTAAGTTGGGTTAAATCGGCGAATTGTTCGAGGAACACCCTGTACCTGATCCGTTATACCCACCAATCCACGCCCTCGGCACACGTGCCTCCGATTCGATCAGGGGAAAATTCCCGCGCGATCGATAACGTGGCCGGCGGCCCCTCCTAGTCCGGCCCTGGCCGTCCATATGACCAGAAACCGGAGTAAGGAAACGATATTGATCAGTCAGCTCAGTAGGTAACCATACGGACGACGACCGTCGAGAGCAGCACCACGCAGACGACGATGTCGGCGTGATCGCGACCACCGGCCCTGCCGCGCGCGGAAAACCGACCACCTCGCCGTGAAATATGCTAAAATCGAGCGGCTTCAAGGAGAAATTGTACACAAACGACAAGGCGCTGCGCGTCGTAGGCGACAGGATCGAGCTGGTGAGGCAGCACAGGCCCCCCAGGTGCTGTTACGCGAGCAAAAACATAAAGTTATCCGTGGAGGCGCCGGAACAGACGTCGCCGAGGAGCCACCGACGCGGGAAGGCCGAGAACGACAAGAGGAAGACGTTCAAGGTGAACGTGAAGGAGCTCCGGGACGCCCAGGTGTGCAGCAAGCAACTCAGGCAGATCTACGAAACCGTAGAAGTGACGGACTTTGAAAGGATTCTCCGCGGCCTTTACGTAAGTGATGAGTACAGCAGGAAGCGGGACAAGTCCAGGACGAACGACATCATCGCCGGCGTAAGGCCCGCCGAGGTGTACGAGCACTTCTTCGGCCAGCACTACTCCTACCTAAGGAGCCTGGTAAACAAGAGTTAAGGCGGCGATAATTTATCAATAAAAAGTAAACAACGCTCGCGTCACCGCGAATTGAATTCGTTCCGCTAATTTGTACAGTGCTCTAGATGTTAGCGTGCCCCAGTAGAACGACCGCGAGACCTAGTGTAGACGACACGACCGACGTACGTATCGAGAAAATGCCTTTTCGCTTCACATTGCCTTAAGATAAACCGCTGACCCGGCCCGGCCCTTGATGCTTGCAACACATCCCAAGTTACTTCTGTGATAAAACAAACAGGGTGTCCACTACACGTTAAGGGTTACTAGAATGGACTGCAAGAACTTACCATCCGCCGCGCCCCAGGTCAAGTCCAGGGACCTGGACAGGAAGGTGCTGAGGGAGACGCTGTACTCGGAGATATTCCAGAGGCACAGGAGGTCCATCTTCGCGCTGGGCTCCTTCCTCAGGATGCTGAAAACCAAGAAATCCAACTACAATGTGATAAAGCAGGACGGCGAGTCCGAATAGCAGTGCGGGTTCCCCTTTAGCTGACCGGTGTGGGGGTGGTGATTGGCAGGTCGTGCTCGTAAGGATTACATGAGTATATATTTTTTTAATTCCCGTAAAATCATAATTTTATGTAGAGTTTTGAGTCGCAGTTACCTTGAAATCTCCTCGAACTTAATAATTTTGTCGCGAACACATTTTCACTGTAAACAATGACCGACAAAATCGTATATTTATTGGCATATTTTTACCATGTTATTATTATTACTAATCGTAGCTTCTCGAAACATGATTATGGTTGTTCAGTTGTTCAGTAAACAGTCCAATAATCGAGGTCAAGTTTTATATTAACGTATTTTTAAAAACGTGCACAGCGACTATTTTTAAATGGATATTAACTACCGAATTTTTTTCACAATAGTAAGTTGCGAAATACATGTTGTTGATGATACGTTTTGCCGAATGGTGCATTCTGCGATACAAATCGATAAAAAAATTATAAAAACGTGTCCGAAAACGTTTCGCTTTCGAGGTACAAGGTATTCAAATATAAAAAAGTTTCACATTTCTTCCTATACCTTTTAAGAACACAAGCTAATGATTTAATCATGGGCAAAAGTTTACTGAATTCACAAACGTTTTGACCAGTGGCGGAGATGTCACTGAATATTTTGGAAATTGGACTGAAATATATTTAATGGGCTCATTCAGCATTTTTTTTATTTGCTTAACGGAAAGATATTGCAATTTTAAGGTTCTCTGCAAAGAATTAGAATTTTATAACGCCTACGAGTCATCCAAAAAAAAACATAAACTGGCGAGCTTAGTATCCGCTTAATCGGGAGGTGTGACGTCACCGCATGGGAAACATTTCCATTGTTGATTTTTTTGTGAATATTATCTAATACCTATAGGTACTAAGTATTTATATAAAAATACAAATAAATATTACATTATTAATATAACGTCGAAATCTTCTTGAACCTTTTGTTTAATATTAAAATATATTTATTTTCTTGGGAAATTGGGTTCTGGTGTGATAGTCGGTTAAAAAAAGAATAAAAAACAGCAGCGATTTATTTCTTGACGTTTCGTTCCTGATCAGGAACTTTTTCAAAAGGCTTTTATTATTAAAATTGTTTTAATTAATAAATTAAAACGTAAAACAAACAATAATTTACTTAATATTTAGAATATTTTTTTGTAATTACAGTTAATTTAATAAGAAAATAATTGTACGTATTAACGAAATTATTTTCTTATTAAATTAATTGTAATTACAAAAAAAAATTCTAAATATTAAGTAAATTATTGTTTGTTTTAGGTTTTAATTTATTAATTATAACAATTTTAATGATAAAAGCCTTTTTGAAAAAGTTCTTGATCAGGAACGAAACGACAAGTAAGAAATCGCTGCTGTTTTTTATTCTTTTTTTAACCGACTATCACACCAGAACCTAATTTCCCAAGAAAATAAATATATTTATAAGATATTAGATACATTTTATGAAGTTTCCATGGAAATAGAAATAGTAATAAGAATTTTGTATATATTTGATTAGGTAAATCTTTGAAAACTGTTACAGAAACGGTTTCGTCCAATTAAACGCAAAATCCTTATTCTTATTTACTATTCTTATTGTACAAAACATCAAAACTTTCGCTACAAACGTACTTTGAAGAAGCTTTACACGTTATTGAAACGTAACCTTTGCATTTTCACTCCTCTCATCTCAGCACTGATAAAGTCGTGGTTTTTATTAAAAAAATCCATAACCATTAACAAACCTACTTCTGGCAAATTAAAAGAATCTGCTTTTACGAAATTTGCTTCTATTTTTAAAATTTTATATGCACAAACTCTAAAGCAATATGTATATGCAGAAACTCATCTGGAAGATAAGTAGCGCCAAGCAGGCTGACGGTCCCATGCGGTGACGTCATTGCATTGCCACAGCTGAGACAAATTTTCGCATTTTAAAATATAGTTTGCAATACTAAATTACTAAATTACCCCATTACAAAAAAGATATCTTCCATTTCATTCAAAAATCGAACCATTTTTGAGTTATTATTTTTTTTAAACTAACATAGGACCGCGCCATAAATCGAAAATAACTCAGAAACTCACTAAAAAAATTCAGGAATTTTTTGTTAAAAATAAAATTTCAATACAATGTAACTGTCAGAAGTCCTTGGCGTGGCAATTATATATTTTTTACAGTGTTAGGTACTATCCTTCAGAAAATCAAAAATTGCTACACCAATGATTTTTTTCGACTTTTACAGTGTCTTTAATTTTTTTGTGTAGTATTGAAGTTGTTTTCAAGTACCTATGTTGTAGGCTTATTTTAACAAAAAAAGTGAATTGCGAATAAAATTAAAGTGCTTATTTTCTCAGAAATGCCAACCGAAATTAAATACTCTTACCCAATTTCCAAAATATTCAGTGGGGTCCAAATTCTAGGGTTTTTAATGACGGTGTTTACTAGTACCTCCGCCACTGCCTGGCAGATTTGTGTGCCGATTCTGCAAATCTTTGTCCATAATTAGTTAGCTCATTAGCCTAAGTTTCGTCAATCCACTTCAAACAACTTCAGAGATATTTAAATAAATATATACTTTTTTATTTCGACACCCTGTATAACGAAGCGTGTCCGGACATTAAAGAATGGCATAGTATTTCCTTAACATCCTGTATAATTAAACATCTGTACACGTACAAGCAAAAATAATTTCCAAAAACCTTAAAAAATGTACAGGTTTCACCATTAAAATATTGTTAACATCCATAATAATAATAATCTTATCTTACTTTTCGCTGTTAAGCGTTGAAAACATGTTGTTTTTTGCATGAAACTTTAATTTTTGGAATTATACAATATTAGATACAGGCCGAGTCAAAGATAGGTAGTTAAAATCGTCAATATTGAAATATTTCAAGTCAAATATTTGCAAATGATTATCCAGTGGTGTAGGTGAGGGGTAGTCTCATTTACAGTGGCGACAATAGAGTTAAATGCCGTTAAATAGCAATGTCTACGACAGTCTACAAAATTTTTGACAAATGTGCCGTTATGGCGGAAATTGTATTCTATCTTGATAAATGTCAAAAAATTCTATAGCAGTATCCTGGTGTGAATATATAGGGTGTAGCTTATAAAACAAATGCCATGGTGTGCTCACTAACCGGCGCAGTTTTGTCCTGTAGGCGCGTGACGTCATTAACGAGATGCAGATTTACTCAGACAATTTAAATTGATCGCGATACGTAAGACCCAAAATGTGTAATTTTCACATTTACGTATGGTACGAATCCTGTTTAAAAAGTCGGTGAACATAACCTTAAATATTGTGTCGAAATAACTATTCTGTTAGAACTTTGAAGAAGCGTTATCTGTTTTGGACAATGAAATGAATGATGTGAGGAAGTTTATACTGCGACAGCTCTGGAAATGTAATTATTAGTTCAAATAACACAAGTGTTGCATTTCCATGCAAATGTATGCCTTGATTTCGTCTCGCGAGTCTCGTTAGTGACGTCACATGCACGTAGGCACGCTGGTGCGAGCAAAATACGCAGGGTGATTAAGTGAAATATCATTAATTTAAGGGAAGGATAAGATAAAAAAAAATTAAAGGAATATTTAAAAAAAAAATTTCAAATCATTATTTTAACGATCCTGACCGCCGACCTACAAAGGTTTATCGAGAGTGTGTTTTTAATAGTGAACATCAGAAACAGACCTTTTTACCTAGACGCATGAATGAAAAAAGATATTTTTTACATTTTAAATATTAACAAGTGTATTTATTTGTTAATAAAAATAAATCTATAATAATTGTTTTCGAATGTTAGGTTATAATTTAGTATTTTTAACGTTTTCACTATGTTTTAATTAAATATTCAATTAATTATTCGGTTTGTAGTACGTATAAGGTATAAGTGTGACTTACTGGGTTCCGCTGCATTTTAATTCTGAAACCAATTGCAAGACGACTGGGGAAATCAGCTGTTTCGCTTCAACGTTCCCAGGGCGCCGAATTAGCGGAAGTTAAGGGGTAATTTCCTTATTTTCTAAAAGATCTAGTATTTTTTTTTCGATTGTCTGTCTTTATTAGGCCTTCCGAATACGTGGTTAAAATTAATGACATTATAACTGAACCACCCTGTATAAAATATTGAAATTTAAACGTCAATTCTGACACACTGTGATTTATAAAGCCACTGTAGCTTCATCCTATGGCATATGTTTTTCTTTATTGTTACATTACGTCGAACCTGCCACAAAAAATATGCCCACTTAAAAAGACTTTAGTCTCTATACTCAAAATTTAATGACGGATTCATTTGTTTTATTTTCTGCTATCTCACAACCTATAAATTTACTACGTTCTAAAATTTTAGCTTCGAAGAGACGCTTATCTCAGTTCCGTTATCAACACCCACATCGTATCAACCGAACCAAACCCTGTTACCCCACCCGGGTGCTTTGTCACAGAATTCGAACTGCAAGAACCGACAAAACTGTCCCACAAAAGTTACTACCTCTTTAAATAACGGTTATCTCTACCGCCACCCCTATCGAGTTGCCACATACACCCCTCGACTCAAAAATAGGCCGCTGTTCATCATCCACATAATCGTATCTGACATTTTCATTGTGGCGAGCCGCCACTGCCTGATTTTATAATGCCAGGCCCTCTGCGATTAAATTCATACGCCGGAATCGCTTCCTAGGAACGAACTGTGACATTTCGTACGTATATGTAGGAGAGGTCTATAGAGCGGCTCAAAAGATTTTAGATTTCAAGGTAAAAGCGTGCCGAAATCGAGAACATCCCGTATAACGAACAGTCCTTACAGCTCGACCTTGCACCGTACTATGCTGATACTGTTTATTTATTGTTACAAACCATATTTATTAGAGTTGTTGTAAGATATAATTATCTATATATATATATGAGCAATTCTTTTTATTTAGATTTATGCGGGTATACACTGTAAGTCTAATTTTTGTGATAACCCTTAGACGATATGTATATTGCGCGGCATTTTTTTAGGTTGAGGTCACTGGAGATTTGTAATTGTGAATATTATTAGATCACCGCCACAGTACGTAATTTCGTTTGTGGTAGACGCCATTTTATTGTGTAGATGTGTGACAGAACGGGAAACGCAAATAAAAGTGGCCGAGTCAGTCTAAGAGGACTATAATTAATTTTTTTAGTCAGTGCTGAAACTGCTGACTAATAAAATCGAGGTACTGATCGCCTTAAGTGGTTGCCCTGGTTCTGTCACACCCCGTAGAAGTTAGTTTGGGTATTCTGCTGTTGTGGACTAGTTGATTATGATAAAAAAAATCGTTATAAATATTAATGTTTTCTACAAACAGAGTGTAATTCTGATTATGGTTTTCTACTGCCAAAAAGATGACTTGTATTAAATATAACAACACTGAAAAGATATGTAAATTTTATAAAATTAAACTAATAAAGATACTGTTTCTAGGAGGATGTTTTATTTTTTTAGAAAATTACCCATTATTATTTTCAAAAAGAGATGGATGAAATTATGCGATATCCTTGAATTGATAACAATAAACTGGTGACAGATTAGGTGCTTGTTTTGAAGTGCTACTAAAAATTTCACAGCCATCCCCGCAAAAAATTATGCGATATCCGTTGACTGCACGAAAAACAGTAAATACCTTAAAAA